TATCAACTTGAACAAAATATCTATTAAACATGTATGACACAGTGGCCATCAGAGTAATACTAACAAACCTCCAGTTATCTAAATATGCATAGGGATTTGGGATACTGCGCAAGTAACTCTTTTCTTTGTTTTTTATTGTATGTATTGGGGTTGATGTGTACTATAGTCACTACTACCACCGAGTAGTAGTGGGAGTTTGAGCTCAGGGCTTAATTTTGTGTGTTTGTATTTTTTACATAGAATGTGACGGCAGATAAGAACCATTTGGCCCATCTAGTCTGCCCAATTTTCTAAATACTTTCATTAGTGACTGGCCTTATCTTATAGTTAGGACATCCTTATGCCTATCCCACGCATGCTTAAACTCCTTTACTGTGTTAACCTCTACCACTTCAGCTGGAAGGCTATTCCATGCATCCACTACCCTTTCAGTAAAGTAATACTTCCTGATATTATTTTTAAACCTTTGCCCTACTAATTTCAGACTATGTCCTCTTGTTGTGGTAGTTTTTCTTCTTTTAAATATAGTCTCCTCCTTTACTGTGTTGATTATATATTTAAATGTTTCTATCATATCCCCCCTGTCTCGTCTTTCCTCCAAATATAGCATGTTAAGATCCTTTAAAGGGACACTATGGTCACCAGAACAACTACAGCTTATTGAATTTGTTCTGGTGAGTAGGATCATTACCTTTAGGCTTTTTGCTGTAAACACTGTCTTTTCAGAGAAAATGCAGTGTTTACATTACAGCCTAGTGATACCTTAACTGGCCACTCCTCAGATGGCTGTTAGAGATCCTTCCTGGGTCATGGCTGCCTAAAATGCATCCAAACATTCAGTGTCTCCTCCCTCTGCATGCAGACACTGAACTTTCCTCATAGAGATTCATTGATTCAATTCATCTCTATGAGGAGATGCTGATTGGCCAGGGCTGTGTTTGAATTGTGCCGGCTCTGCCCCTGATCTGCCTCTTTGTCAGTCTCAGTCAATCCTATGGGGAAGCACTGTGATTGGCTCAGGCTACCACTTTTGCTGATGTCAACAGGCAGTGGGCAGGTCTAAAAGAAACAGGGACAAAGCCAGCAGCTGTATACTTGAATACAAGTAAGATTGTACTATATTTTGGGAGGCATGAGTGGCTATATGGTGGTTTTAACCCTATAGGGTCAGGAATACATGTTTGTGTTCCTGACCCTATAGTGCTCCTTTAACCTTTCCTTGTAAGTATTGTAGCCCTTCTCTGAACTCTTTCCAATGTATCAATATCCTTCTGAAGATACAGTCTCCAATACTGCAAACAATACTACAAGTGTTCTGTACAATGGCATGATTTTGTATTACACAGCCATGTTACAATACTGTCACCCATCTCATGTGATCCCTATTAAAGTTTAATAAGTGTGTAGGGGTTGGAAAAAAAATACCCCTTTCTGTCTTAGAGATTTTACCTAGAAACAGGTTTTAGCTTGACGTGGCAGGTGAGCTTACACTTAAATGACCATTGGACTGATACAAAAAAATCTCCAGTTTAAATGTGTATAGGGATTTGGGATGTACAAGTAACTTTTTTCTTTGTTTTTATTGTATGTAAGACACTGTGTTTACCAGATCTTCAATCACCCAAGTATTGACAGAGAATTTGAAAATTAATTTTAGGTTTCTCAGCATTGACATGGATAATCAAGATAGGTTATGCTTTGGTAATTTTACATACCATCTATTGTGATTTTTTTTAAAAAAAGGTGCACTTATTTTGTATTACCAAGATCCATCATAAAAAGTCATTGACCGAACCATGGGAGCCTTCAACCTATACAGGACTGCTGATAATGTAGCATGAATCAAACATTGCTCTGCTTGGCTACATCTGCATAATTTTCCTCAGTTTTTCAGCCTTCAAAAATATTTACATTTTCCCTCAGACCATGCATGGACTTCAGAAGAAGGGAACAACTAGCCTAGAAAGAGTATCGGGTAATGGCTTGGGGGAAATGAACCAGCAATATGGAATACTGAGGAAAAACTGTGGAAATTGTGAGATGCTCTTGGAGAGAGGACAGCACTAATGAAATATAAAATGGGAGAAATATTAGAGAACTGCACTGGGCAAATGAGAGAAAATATAGTTTGCACAAAATTTGTGGGAAACAGAAAATTTCACGTCAAAAGGAGGGTGCCAGGTGATGGCAATTAGGTAAGGCAGAGGGCTTGGGAATAAACACGGGAGGTAGAGAGGGGGCATTAAGGGTACTGCTAGTAGATGTAGTAAAATATGATTAGTGATGATAGTTACTTGTTGCTGTATTAAGTGTGGGAGGGGTTTTGTGAAGGCATGGCTTCAAGTAGCACTCTTTGCTGTTTTGATATTTCTAGAGTGTGCAAGCTGGCATTACAGTAGTAAATGTTAAGATTCCTAATGGGGTAATAAAGAACCCTAGAGTGACAGTGACTTTAAAAAACCATTGGAATTGGTTGACATCTCTGATCATGAGTCTGCAATACAGAAATCATTGAACAGGGATAGTATCCATGGCATGAAACCACAAAAAAAAGTTTTCGACAAAAACACCTGAAGTTTGCTAAAGACCACTGTAACACTCCACTACCGGATAAATATTTTGTGGACTGATCAACCTACTGTTGCTTTTTTTGAGTAGAACATGCAGCACTATGTATGGCATAAAAAGGGCACCGCAAACCAGCATGAAAACATCATCCTAAAGGATAAGTACGGTGGAGGAAGCACCACGATTTGGGGCTGCTTTGGGGCCTGGACCACTTGCCATCCTCAAGGGAAAAATTAATTCCCAAGCTTATCAAGATTTTCTGACAGGCAGCCTGACTGACCCACAGCTATCAGGACCAAGCAGATAGCCCTGCTAAAGCTTGTCTAAATTGGGACTGGCAAGATAGTTGTGAGACATGGTAATGTAAACTGCTCCCCTGGTGCCCTCACCTTTCTTGTGTACTCCTGTCTGTTCTCTCTATTCAGAGCTACCATGCTGTCTAGCAAATCAAGGCCAATGCCTATAGTTTAATAGTACAATAAAGATTCTATAATATATGTTGTCCAGGTATAAGTTGAATAAATGGCCTTGAACAATGACTTGTAGACATGTGCAATTCATTTTGTTCCAAATGTAAATTCAGACTAATTTCGGCAATTCAGACATTCGGATGCTTCCGAATGTCCAAATTGCCGAATTACAGAATTTCCAAAGTGCCGAATGGAACCGAATAGCCGAATTACTGAATTGCCGAAGTGACGAATTTCAGAAGTGCTGAACCGAATTGCCGAAGTGACGAATTTCGGAAGTGCCGAAGTGTTTCGGATTTCTGAAAAGTGGCAAAACAAGAGAGGGAGGGAAAATTAAGTGAATGATGACAGGAATCTAACCCTACTCCTAACCCTAGATGTGTAAGTGGTTGTGGGAATAGGGGTATGGTTAGGTGTTAGGGCTGGGTTAGGGGTAGGGTTAGGAGTAGGGTTAGGGGTTAGGGGTTAGGGTTAGGGAATTGCCAAAGTCCAAAATTTTGGAAGTGGTGAACCGAAGTGCCGAATTGCCAAAGTCCCGAATTTCGGATGTGCCGAACCGAAGTGTCGAATTTCCAAAGTCCCGAATTACCACAATCAGAATTTCAAAAGTGCCGAACCAAATTCTTTGCCCATGCACATCCCTAATTGTCCTACTCAAAGAAAGAAAATGGTTAGTTTCTCCAAACAATGCTGCATTTTTTTTTTAAATTAACATGTTTTGTTTTTGTAATAAGCCCTGTATATGTTCATTTTGCCAAAATGTATTTTTCAGTATGCCAGCTCTAGATTCACTGCACTTGATACACAGCCCGGATGAGATGATAATGTTTAAAACTATAAATGCTTACTAAAAAAAAATCTTGCTGACATGTTTCTGTTTTGCAATACCACAAACAATAAAGACATTTAAATTAGTTAGCAATCAATTAGTGACCCATTTATTGATATTTAATTACCTAGACACATCTTCCTAAAGCGATATTAAATTGACGTTCACTCATATTAATGCACCTTCCCAGAAAATCTTAAATAAAAATAAATTTGGCTAAGGAGAATGTAGCGAAGAGCTGGTATTACACAGCCTATCTCCACTTTAGATTCCAGTAAGGCTCAGGTACAAGTATAATAAATCCACAGAGTAATAATCCCAGCAGGCAAAAAGACTCCAACAACATAGGCGTGCGCAGCCTATTACATTAGGGTGTGCCCATAGGCGTGCACAGCCTATTGCATTAGGGTGTGCACCCTAAAGCACAAACACATGCCGCGTGTATATGAATGTATGTGTGTGTATATATATATATATATATATATATATATATATATATATATATATATTTTTATATATATATATATATTTTTATATATATATATATATATAAAACAAAAATAGTAATGCACTCCACCTTCCTTGATGTACTTGCCCGGTGCTTATCAGCAAACAGATACAGCCAAAAGTACAAGATAGCACTCCAGGGACTTCCAAGTTGAATGAATAAAACTTAGCTTTTATTAGCTCAAAATAAAAATCAACGTTTCAGTCTGTATCACAGACTTTCATCAGGATGACAACGTTGACTTTTATTTTGAGCTAATAAAAGCTAAGTTTTATTCATTCAACTTGGAAGTATATATATATATATATATATATGTATATATGTATATATATATATATATATATATATATATATATATACATACACTGTTGTGTGTGTGTGTGGGTGCTGTATGTGTGTGGGTGCTGTGTGTAAGGGTGCTGTGTGTGTGAGGGTGATGTATGTGTGGGGGTGCTTTGTGTGAGGGGGTGCTGTATGTGTGAGGGTGCTGTATGTTTGGGTGATTGTGGAGGTGGGGGATGATTAGTTAATATCCCCTCTCCCTTCTTACCTTATGTAGGGAGGGGGGACCGTGCTGCTGCCAACCCTGGTGGTCCAGTGGAGAGTAAACTCTAGCCACTCAGATCTCGTGAGAGGAACCTGGCGGAGCTGCTGGCTAGAGCTCCCCAGGTCCTCTCCTGCCTCCGTCCATGCTGCTGTGGGCCCGTGAGGGATTTCTTTAATCTCCCAACCGGCCCATGGAGGCTTAGAGCAGAGCTGGCGCTCGGATAGCGCCGGCTCTGCATGAGCCGACATGGGAGATCCTGAGATCTCCCCTGCCGGTCTCAATCCATAGGTGTGCCGTGGGGATTAGGGTGTGCCCAGGCACACCCGGCACACCCCGTGCGCACGCCTATGTCCAACAATATCCCAATCGCAATCCCAATGACTGCACGACACACAGCATCAGGAGCAGAACTAAAGATTTATTCACAGCGGTCTCTTATAAAGGATTCTCCCATGCAAGGGAGGGATTTACAGTAATTACAGCAGTAACCAATAATACAGAGGTTCTCTCACCTACTTTCCCTCCCCTCAGTGTAACACTTAATCCACTTAATCCTGGTACCTTTTCCCCTGTTTCTTGGATGTACCCCAAAACCGTGGGGTACCAGGACTTAAGTGGCATCCCCTCGTAGCCCTGGTCTGGGTGACCAACATACTCAAAATTCACCCAGATCAGACCAGGGGTTCTGGAGTTATAGGAAATAAACGATTTGACCGACCGCACACGACTATGTAGCCAAAGGAGTTCCATGTATTTTGACCCTGCGGTCGGTCTGCGTTTGGGAGGTAAAACAGGTAGAAATCCTTGCCATCCATAGACAATACCGGGTTCGCACGAACCACCTTGTTTGGTATATTGAACTCACCGAACGAGGAGTCGAATAGCCCCTCCGTTTGTGAGTTCTGGAGCTCTGGAGGTCTCAGCGGTGTTCGCACAATTGAGTGTCCGATTTGAGTTCCAGACACTCGACGACCAAACACCGCTGAGAGTTTGTGCGTAAGATGGCCGCCACCGTGTGTTCGTCTACCGAATGGCGGCCACCCAGATACAGCAATACAACATCAATTAACTGCGGTTAGGAAGGGAATAAGAGTTTAACTAGGGACCCACTTCTTCTCTAAGGTGGTCTATGCATTCGGTAGTTTCCATTCGTATAAACTATGAAGGAAACTACCGAACTAACATACGAATGTATATGCAATTTCCAATGTACAGGCAGTTTTAACATGCGAACAGTCTTTTAACATATAATTCTGACGGACAGTCACATGCCATCCGCTACAGAGAATCTATTTAATAAAACAATGAGACCGCTCATACCATGTAGAAGGGTGGCAGAAACATATTTATAATACTTAATAATACCCTAACTAATAGTGCTAATTGTTAAGGCTTACAAGTTAGCACATAAAGTCGTTTTTTGATTGGTGGGAATCAGTTTTTCAATAAAATATTTTACACAGGTTTTGTTTTCTAATTCAGTTGGATTATAATAGTATCTATTTTCATAAAGGCCAACCACCGGACTGCCTAAGGAGTAGGGGAACATGACTGCTGGCAGGAGTAGTTGGCATGGTAACAGAATTGCTACAATGTGTGTGACAGTAACTACGTCCCGGAATTCCGGGAGAACTCGCCAGTCCACTATAGCACAACTGAGGGATCCTGGTGGTGCTTTTTCTGTGAAGATTTCCTGTCAGAAATAAAAATATTACATTACTTATTATTAATTAATATCGGCTATTATATTAACTTAATAATGGCTAGAGAAGCTGACATGACTAGGGAAGCCTTACATACCCTGTTGCAGTCCTTCCATAGGACCCATGGAGTGGACTCCTTCGCCTCCTTGTTGCAGGGTGTCGTGTCTGATCCTCAGCCTGTGGTACCGGTTTCTGATGTGGCTTCCTCTCTGTCTGGAAGACGGGCTCGGGAGGGTTCTTTTCTTATCTATGAGGACGGGTCAGTACTCACGCGCTCGCAATTTTCAAGTATCTTTAAGTCAGCGCTGCGCTTGCTGGGGGTAGAGGATAGTGGTTACTCCCCCCATTCTTTTCGCATAGGCGCAGCTACTCAGGCTAGCAGATTAGGGTTTTCAGATGCCGCTATTCAGCGTTTGAGTCAGTGGAGCTCTTGCAGATTTCGCTTATATGTGCACCCTCACTTATTGTAGGTGCATGGGGGTTAATATCCATTTATCTGTTTTTCAGGTTCTTTTTTTTTTGGATTATAGGTCACTCCTTTATTTACTGGGCAGCTCGTCGGGCAGAGCAAAGACCACACTGCAAGAATCTGGGTTTCTGTCATGACCAGATTAGGGTAAAATGGCGCGGGATAAGGGACCTCAGATGGCATCAGATTTACCTGGAATGCGTAGCCCTCCGGCATTTTGTTTCTGGCACTGTGATGCTGTTTATCCATGCAAGGGGTAATGATTTGGGGATGGGTCGTACTGTGGACTTAATCCACGCATGTAAACACAATTTGGCGCGCTGCTTTGCATTGTTTCCAAGCTTGGTGTTAATTTGGTAGGAGGTGGTTCCCCGTCCCTGTTGGCAATCCTTACCTAACGCTAAGGCCCTGGAGCGATCTCGTTGTCAGCTCAACATGACGATATCCAGATTTGTTCGCAGTTTAGGGGGCCTGGTGATTCATCAAGTTGAGTTAGAGGGCAACAATCGTAACATGATGAGGAATGATGGGGTTCACCACAACCCCATTAAACTGAATATTTTTAATATGGGTTTCCAAACAGTCGTTGAAAAAGCACTGGCTTCAGGGGGACACAGCCATTCCCCAGTTTAGGGTTAAGGATGCAATGGTGGGTTTTCCTGCACCAGCAAGTTATGAAAGAACACTGCCCGGACGGGCTTGGGGAGTTGCGGCCTGATTTGGTGGATCACGAATGACAGGCTGTTATGCTATGTTATGTTATCTGTCTGCTGGGTCAAACCAGCAGCTGTCAGTGGTTGTTTGCTGGCTGTCGGAAAATAAAGATGTGGCCGTTGCCCTTACCCACTAATATGGTGTTGTGTTATTTATTGGTGGGAGGGGACAACGGGAACATTTTACGGCGGTATCAGCAGTCATGGTCTTATGTAGCTCTCTGTATAAAACCTTTTATACACATGCGCACCCTGTTGCAGAATTTACTGGGGTGAATAGTATCGGAGTAACGGAGGTAAGTAATAAACTTATCTGCTCTGCACTTCATTGTATTGGAGGATTTGCAATCCCATGATGCCTTGAGTGCACACATGCATTCTTGTGCATCAGGAATTCCGTACTTGCACATGTGCGCTCAAAATGTCCTCAGCAGTGGCACTGCAATAATAAACTAATATATCTACCTTGCCTGGTTTTAGCCGGCGAAATTTGTAAACGAAAATATTAAGAAAGCAAATTATGTTTTAAAATGTTTAGGACATTCAAGAGCTAAGACTTAGGCCTCAAATTAATATTGTTCGATAAACTTTCCAAATGATTCAATATTTTTAGATAAACGTTTAAAGTGATTTAACATGTTAAATCCATTTTAATTTGATATTTGAATATTTTGATATTTTTGAAATAGCTAGTTAGCTATTTGGTTCTCCTAAATGTGAAGAAGTGAGAGTACGTATTTCAGTAATTGATTGCAATTAAGAAATCAAGAGCTGCACAATTGGAAAATGCTTCAATTCTCCTTTTCCTGAACCATTAGCAGATAAAAGGTTATGTAAATTTGAACTTGTCTGAGCTATGTATTTTTTTTTAAATATATTCTGATCAATTTAAAGAGGCAGTCCAGATTGAAATGCATTAATATTTTTTAATGCATGCATTAAGTTATCAGAAAAAAAAATATGTGAATTAAAATTTTGTGTATAGATTTAAATCGAAATACTTGTTTAAAATGCTGTTTCTTCAAAGCTGTACTTCTGCAGCCACTACAATCAATGCAAAGCCTAGTTGTGCTAAGAAAAATCTTACAGTGAGCAAGACAAACAGCGGTAACCCTAGGATTCCATCCCAAACTGTTCCATGTAGTTCCCTAACTTCAGGGTATACATTTTTGCCATGGTGGCTGCTTTCCTATTTTTTAATATACTGTACAATAAAGTTGATTCATTCAATCAACAAATGAGCAGGCTTGTAACATCTCTAGCTGGAGGGGGATCTGCCAGTAACACTTGGTGAGATCTATGGTGATCATATAGAGTTCCCTAGTAAGCCTCTTTAATAACTCATCCACAATCGGGCACAGGATATTGCCTGTGACGGTCTAAACCATTATTAAGTCTCCCGAAATCCAGAACTGTCCTTTTAAGGGACCCCCACCATGGGTTTGTTTTAAATGTATTTTGACACTTTGCCAAAGAATGGTGAAAGCTATAGAAACAATTTGTGATGCATTGTGTTATTCACCAACCTGTCTTCTGAAGAGTTAAATAAAAGGTACCCTAGGCCAGCAAATGGCAGGCCATGCAGACAAGGTCAGTCTGCAGTCTCACACGTTGCTCTGTATTCTCTATAAATACATATATGCTGTTAGCGGAATGGGTAATTTATTTGAGACATAAGATATCTTGGCACACAGATCTATTGCCATTCATTCTGCAAATGGAAAATTGAGGATGCTGTGAAGGTTAAGGGCCTATGTAATAAGCTATTCCTAATGTGGAATAGATAGTAACAGGGTTTAGCAAAATTGGGAGGTATGCATTTGAAACGAGAACTGCTTTTGTATTCAATAGAAAATCTGAGAAAATGTCTTAAAATATGCTTGCTCTTCTTTTAATTTATGTTCTACGGCTTTGTAGCATGTGATAATGCATTAAAGCCATAGGAAACTCACTGACCAGATTTTTCTTGAGTCTCTTACATTTAAAGGGACACTGTAGACACCAATATAACTTTTGCTTAATGAAGCAGATGAAGCAGTTTTTGTGTATACATCATGCCACTTTGTTTATACAGCCCTAGTCACACCTCCCTGCCTGTGACTTGCACAGCCTTCATAAACACATCCTGTAAAGAGAGATCTAATGTTTAAACTTCCTTTATCGCACATTCTATTTCATTTATAATTTCATATATCCTAAACTGTTAATAGCTTGCTAGACCCTGCAGGAGCCTCCTGTATTTAATTGACAGAGCAGGAGATAAAAACTTATAATGCAAGTTAAGATCTGATTGAAAATAAAACCATTTTGTTTTCGTGCAGACTGTGTCAGTAACAGCCAGCGGAGGTGTGGCTAGGACTGCTTTGACAGAAACAAAAGTGAGTTGACTCCTAAATGAGCAGTGAGACTGCAGAGGCATGATTTATACACCAATATTGCTTCAATGAGCTAAAGTTGTTTTTATG